TGGGACTGTGTACAGTGAGAAGCCTTTTCTTTCAGATTCACACATCTGCCTTTCTCTTGAGCTCCACTTACTTACAGTAAGAGGGATATGTCAAACCAATATGGGACCACCTGTCAAAAATTAGTACAAAAGGGAGATGCTTTTGTGATGATTATGTTATGCATGTATTATACACTCAGAGATGCTTCGGTATTAAACAGTCCAGACAATGTCACAAATTTCTGCTTTGACATTCCACGAAAGGAAAACAAATTAGATGAGAACTTCCTATGTACTAAGTAGAGATGAGTGAATAAAAAGCAAAATTCTACCTAAATTAAATCCAATGAGGATTTAGGTGTGTTACTAAAAATGTCAACATGATTGTCACACTAAAATATTATCGATGGCTTTAACTCTGAAGTTTTCTTTAGAAATTATAACTGTTATCTACTAACACTCGACAGGGATTCAAGAAGGACAACAATGGTTAGGAAGGAAGAACAGTCCTCTGGCTATACTTTACATTTCAAAATGCTTAGTACTGAAATAAACTTATAATAATTAAGCTTACTGCTCACATTACAATGCTACTATAACTAATCTCTTCTCTTCTGGGTGTCCAACAACTAAAGTTTAGAAACCAAAGCTAGACAAATATCTAGGCTAAGAGGGCAGCCAACATTTTACCCTTGCCTACCACACTCAACAAAGACCCAGCACATGCAAGAACCTCTGGTGTGACATCCTAATACTCTGGTGAGTCACTCATCCTCCTGGCGAGGGAGACTGATGGACCCCAAACAATGGAAATCAACAATGTGTAGTGTGCCTACAGTGTCGCCAAGAAAGAAAAGTATCACGTTTTCATGAAAAATGGCCTAGCAAAGGCCGTGACTCATTCTGATGATGACACTGACAAAAGAAATGAGAGGGTCCATATGGCTCTGAGGTAAACGCTGAGGAGACTTAACTGACCCTGAGAGGCAGCAAGAGGTCAACTTCAATGTATAAAGATCTGATTTAACTTGGTGTTAAACACCCAGCAGAAAAGTATAATCAAAACAAGGAAATTATCAAGACTACTAAAAATACAACAAATATTTCGACAGGAAGAGACAGGTCTAAGGAATTTTAGAATCTTATATGGCCTTAACCTGTCGTCTAATATCTTGAATAGCCATAGAAGGATCAGGAACATGTACACAGAATTTAATTTTTAAACTGGCACAAGTATTTCTATGTTGTTGGAATTTCTAATGTCACCTGATTTTGGAGTACAGTCTGTCATATATATATATATATATATATATATATATATATATATACATGGAAAGGGAGAGGACAGTCATGGTGACTTTAAAAGTGAAGAGCTGCTACTTTGGCGATCACACACATAGAGGACAAAAGTTTATCTACATTTTTAGAACCAGAGTGAAGAGAACATGTAGAGAGGTTCAAGGTGATGCTAAGGAGATGGGCATGCAAAGGGACGTGGTTGAAGAAAGCAGTTAGGGGAATCTAAAGCCAGTCAATATTTGTGCCCCAGCAGTGTGTAGATGGTTCAGCAAATCATACTATCTAGGAGCATGGCAGTTACTGGAGAACGTGTATAGTCTATCAGAACACCAGGAAAGTCGGGTCATAGAATGTGACTTGATCCCTGAAAAGTTCTGAAAGTTCATGCTTCTTCATCCAATGACTACAGTGATTATAATATAGCACTTTTATTTTAAAGAGAATAAAAAACAATAACAAAATAACAACATAGACAAAAACATAACAGCCTGAAAACAACAAAAATGATGCAGGGTTTCAAAACAAAGTGATAGGAATTAACAGTGGCTGTTATATTACATACTGTTATCTTCAATGAAATTGCAGAGATTACCAAATGTAAGAATGCAAGATTGATCAAACCATTAAAGAGAATGAAAAATATTAATAAAAAATACTAGAAATGATACTGAGCATCACTCAGCAAGATAGCAGGAATTCTTCAATGGTTGTTATATTGCATAGTGTTATCTTTAAATTAACTGTTCAGATTACCAGATATAAGCATGTAAAATTGGTCAAAAAATTTAAGCATTAACTATCCTTTATCCATACAATTTTTTTGGTTTTCTGTTAAGTGAAGAAAAAAAACTCACTATTTGCCTTTGAAAATTATGAGAATGCCAGTAAAATTAGTTTTTTTTTTCTTATTTTTTAATAGGAGACCTCTTAGGGCTGGGATTCAGCTCAGCAGCACAGCGCCTGCCTGAGAAGCACCAGGTCCTGAGTTTGGTTCCTGGTTCTGGAAGAAAAACAAAAAAAAACAAACGAAAGAAAAACAAACAAAAAAAAAAAACAAAAAAAAAAAAAGAAGAGACATCTATCCTTCAAAGACCAGCATGCCTCAAGATGATATAAATACAAAATAACCATTCCAAACGATGCATCATTAGAAAACATTTCAGAAACAAAACCAATGCATATGGAACTAGCAGGCGTCTTCCCCAGCAGCTTGGCACTGCAGGAATGAGAGAAGAAAGTCAGTCTTTCGTGCATCAATGACGAAGAAGCGGAGCATGTTACAAACAGTGAACAGGTGAGTTTTCTCATCAGGTGACTGCAGGGATTCCTTCTCCAAACACAAAGAGCAGTCCACCTTGTCTGGGACTTCAAGATCAGTCTAGAGACCAGAAAGAAAGTCACTTTTAATGATTATTCATAATTCTATATCCTTGCTGCTTTACTTATTAAACTGAGACTTGGACAATAATGGAAATTTAAAACTTTCACCAATCGGAAGTTGTCATTCATCTTCTCCAGCACCTCATAAACCTATTAGTATCTAAAGCTACACACACAACATATGTATCATTCTTTCTGACATGAAAGTGATCACAGGGGATTTGTGTTCCTGAAAAGCAGACAGCTTGAGATCCAGGAGGTTGGCACTTGAGTATAGATGTGGATTTGACTAAGGAACAAGGCAAAGGCTCCTGCTGTAGCCTAAATTGACCCTCCCAGCCAGCAAACTTCAGCTGCTGTCAGTTTCCCAGGTAACAGCTCTTGTTAGAGTTCCTGTTACTCCTGTTTCTTAGAAACGGCTGGTCGCTGGGACACACAGCTGGTCACAATGATGCTTATCGTAAGAACCAATCAAAGACAGCCAAGTGCCCTGCTTCTTCCTTGTAGACCCCATAAACCCTCCCTCCCAGAGCCTGCGAGGCCTGATATTTTATAAGGATTGATTCCTCGTCGGTACCACCTGAAGTTAAACAAATCTGCCTCCAAGTCCTGGGTGATGTTTCTAGTGTTTCTGTTTGCTGCTGCAGTTCCATTCGTGCACTTAAGGAAGTTTTGCATTTCTTGACACGTGTTGCTGACGTTTGCCTTGTATTTCACTTCCGCTGATAGCTCAGGGTTTAACTTTTGATGCATTGAACAGGATCTGTTCTGCATACTGTGACAGCACTGAGATTCTGGAAAGGTTGAACTTTGCAATTAGAGCTTTAAGGTGCTGACAGTTGAGTCATGACTGACAAAATGTCAAAGTCTCTCATTTCACTTAGGAAAAGTCCCTTCCCAATGAGAAGAAGCTGGTTTCCTCTGAGTCCCCTGGGGTGGGAGTTGTTGGGGGAAAATGTGTGTAAAGAGGGTCCTGGCAGTAGTTGACCATGGTGAAGACTGCTGTGGGGTGGGGAGAGACTGTGCTCAGCAAAGCACTGCACAGTGAAGAGAGAGGGCAGTGGGTCCCTGTGCCCTGCATCAGCCTGTGGGAGCTGGGAGACCCTCAGATCCCAGAGCCACAGTAACACTGTGCTGCCTATGAAGAGGTCAGCTCATTTCCAGGGCTATGGGGTGCAAACCTGGGATAAATGTAGACTCTGGTCTGCTGAACTTTCTCCTAAGCAGTAAGAATATTTTCTAATGAAATTTGAATCATGTGTCTTTATATTTTATCTAGGTTTATACTTTTTTATCTTTTGGGACTTGAGCCAAAGATTTCCTGTAAATGCAACAAGTTATTCATCATAATATATGTTTTTGGATAAAATGACATAAAACAATGAATTTTAGAACAAATTAACTACCTCAGAAAGTGTGCTCACAGTAAAAAGGAAAATAGCTTGAAATTCTGGTGTTTGTTTCCTATGTTCCAGGGTTAATACAATCCTTTTTTCTTGTGTCACATAAGATTTTTGTGTAAAAACATCATGGGACAACAGGTACTAGGAAAAAACATTAATATACAAGTGCTTCTCTTAGTACTTCTAGAATCATATATCTTCATGTAATACATTGTTTTCTGAGAACTTTAAAAGAGTGCTTAGGTGTTCTCTCGCTAATGTTAGAATTTACCAAGAGGAGTGGGGATACATATTGAAAACACCAATTCAGTCTTAGTGTGACAAATTATTTCTGAAGTTTAAATGTCGTAACATAAATATTCATTTAGCAACAGCAAGAAAACCGAAACGTAAGATGAATTTCTACAAAATGTAATATGAGAAAATTTGATATTACAATTAGCTCTTCTTTTTTGATGCTCTAACACCTAGTGCCTGTAGGACAGCGCTGATATTGGGGTTCCCTCAGTCTACTCTCTCGGGGTGTGGAGGAGGAATCCTCACATGATCATCATATGATTTTGACTTTTCCTTGCTCTTTCCCAGTGATCCTCTGCTCTGAGGAGAACAGTGAAAGAACATGACCCAAAGTCCTGTGAGATTGTCCTGAGGTTCTTGAAGAAATATTCTTTTGCAGTTATTCTGCTCTGATTTTCTTTCCTTCAAAATGATTACCCTCTGACTTTATGAAGGGGCACATCCTTGGGAACTTTGAGACAGTGCAGGGAAGATGACGCCTGTAACTTCCCTTACTTAATCCCTCACACTCCTTTACTTTAGAAACCACACTGTGGCTGGCTGAGGCTGTTCAACTGTTTCATGGTGGACAAGAAGATGGAGCATTTCGCCTAGATGTGGCTCCTGACATGCAAGGTACTTCCAAACATTCTCACACGGATGGAAACTCATCACTAGAAATGCACGAAAGCATCAAAAGACTGCTCACCTGGCTGGCTACTTGACGTGTGAATGATTGAAGTTGTTGGTGTTTTAATGAAATAACCCTGTTTTTTCTTTGAGAGGAAAGAATGGAATTTCAGCAGGTGGTGTGCTTCCAGGCCCAGGTGCAGTAAGGGTTCTCTCCAGGAGAGCAGGTAGTGAATCACCACGTTAATAAAGTCTTTTTGCTATGCAGCCAATTTAGAGCAATTCCCTGCAAAAAAATAGACAAGGCACAGCTGAGTTAGTTATAGGAGACTTTGGATCAGGGAGGTGGTAGAAATACATGAACTTGCTATTTTGGTGTGCATGTAAAATTTTTTCTGTATATGATAGAATTTCTAAAAAACAAATAGCTAAACATTTGGCCCACACTGTGTTGCAGTAAAACAAAAAAATAAAATGGCCATGGAAATAAATACTTTTTTTCTAATTAGAGTTCAGGTGGATATCATTAAATATTGTTTCCCTATGAAATACTCTCAATTAATTTAAAATAATGCTATGACTTTCTTCCTGTTGCAACTGTGAGAACCATGTGAGAACCGCAACTCCATACAGAACAAGACAGCACCGTGGGGAGACTTACAGTTGTGACGTGGGAGGAGGAGGAAAGCATTGAGGGCAGGTGAAGAAGTCGCGTGTGAGAAGCAGAGGCAGAAGCAAAGCAGAGAGCTGAAAGTCCAGGAGAGATGGCGCAGATCAGACAGGGGCGGGCAATGTAAACACCACAAGAGCAGGAGTCCCAGGTAACTTGCGGTCAGAAACCATGAACCGGCACATCTTACATATGTGCTGGAATATCCAATTCAGTTCAAACTTCATAGGGCACAATACATTGAACCCCAGACACAAGGCATTCGTGAAACTAACATGATCTGCACGGTCAATTTCTGGTTCCAGTACAATATTTAACTTTGACCTTGTCTATAACTGACCCCTTACTAAGTGCACTTTTTCTCGGCCTGCATACTCTTGGTCCGTTTTCCTCCGCAGGTTTGATTACTGCTACCACTGACCGCAGAGTCTCCTAGCGCCCGAGGCAGGACAAACCAGTGCAGCTGAACTCACCTGCATCAGCCTGGCCTCCCTCTTCTCAGCTGGAGCACGGCTATCAGCTGTGTGGCACCTTTGTATGGCTGGCCCAAAGAAGGAGGAGTCTTGGGAATATTGGTTCTCCAGAATGTAATGAAGAAAATTGCATTACTGTGGTTTTGCATATTGAAAATATGAATCCTTTACTAAGACATGAATACATTTGTTGGATCTGTAATTTTTTGAAAAGTGAGAGATACATGAAAACTGAATATAAAGAATTAAGGACTCTTCAGCCTGTTGTTTCCCAGTAGCTGTGTAATCTCATGATTTTTAACCCATTTTCTAACCTCTCCAGCTCTTTCCTTCTTGTTTATGCCCTTGTCTCACCCTTCCTTGAAATGCTATCTCTAAAATTACTATGAACTACAAACCTCTAAGTACTTTAATTATAATTTTCTCTAATTTATGAGCTAAAAGCACCTTGCATATGTATCTGTATCTATCTATCTACTGTCTTTCACATGGGTCCAAAGCAATATTCTTCCTTTAAATAAAGATGAGTAATTGTGTTTTTTAAATTATCTCTTCCTAAACATGAACATTGTCAATTTCATCATAGATAATACATAATACAAAATTTTTGTTCTGACAAGGTAAGTAATAAAAAGTAAGAAAAGTGCATAGGAACGTTTAAGATGAAAACCAAAGAGAGATTCACTTAGTAGTACTAAACCAAATTTGTGAAAATTTAATGGTATTTAAGGAGTGATGTGAAGGACACCAGGTTACCATTCGAAAATGGGGAATGAAAGAAACAGGAGTGAAATAAAGAACTGTATGAATAGTGTATGTCACAAGTATTCCACCCCTTTCTCTAAGGAGGAACTTAATTGTTCTAAATCCTAATCTCCTGGCTTTATACCAGAGAGTCTAGACAATGTTCAAGCACCTAAGGAAGGGGTGAATTCTATCCTCCTCTGAGCTAACCTATTTCTTTAAATTTCAAACTCCATTCTAAAAATATTTGAACAAAGTATTCAAGCACTTGTGGCTTTCTAAAGGGTCTCAATTTAGGATGTTTTTCTCTGAGATGACTTTAGTTTAGTTAAATCTACTCAACCCACCCAATACACAGCAAAGTCATTCTCATCTGGAAGATATCAGCTGTGTGCTCAGTGAGGAATGCCCATGGACTGGCCCTTCTGTGCAGGAGCAAGAAAGCAGTGCCCTTACTCACACCACTTAAAAGCAATATGTCAGGAGAATAAATATTTAGAAATTGTGGGGACAGGGATATAGCTCAGAGGCATAAGCACCTGCCTGGCAAGGGCAAGGTCCTGAGTTCGATTCCTGGTACAAAAATGAAAAAAAAAAAAAAAGAAATTCTGAGTACTTTTGGATGTAAAAAACATATTTTCTTACAATCTTAGATTTCATAAAATATTCCCTTCCTTCTTGTTCTGAGTTTATCACCCAATACATTTTAAAAACATTAATATATATTATTGGACATTTCTTTGCAGAGTTCCTCATCTTTATATTGTAGTATAAGCCAATCATATTTTAATTAGTCTTTTGCAAAGATAGAAAAAGTGAGATACTTACAAATTTCTGGAAGAAGCCTAAAGCATGGAAGTGCATGCTCTGAGACATATAGGAGGCAACATGATACAGAACATGAAGGTTCATCTGGCATCTGGAAATACCATGGCAGATCCAATTAGAAGCCACATTCCAGCACAGGACTGGGCTGGCACGACCAGCAGGAGGAGGGACTCTGCTTCAACAAACCCACAAGCACCTGGGGTGATCTGACTGGTGAGGGACCACCAGCCATCCTGCCCAGGGAGGACTTGTGCATCTCCACTGCCTCCAAGGCACGACTTGGAGCTGTAAGAGCTCAGATAAGGAAGCACCAACACCTTCCGCTGTGCCCCGTAGGTGAGCTGCATTTTCACAGACTTAAGGTGAGTGAGTCCTGCGTTTTATGGTACTTCTCTAAGTACCTCTGCATCATGCAAACACATGGAAATTAAATTGAATCCAATTCAAGACTTTAAAAAACAGTCTTAAAATAGTTCAGTATCCCGTGAATTTCTGCAGCTAACAATCGTTACGATTCACCAGGTGTTTGTAAATTTCTATTTGAGTCATAGATATAAGCATCTTAAATACTTAAATAGGAGCAGTACATTTTGTCTGCGTTTCATCTTTATGCTTGGAGGAATAAGCACAGAAACGCTTGGTTGCTGATATCAGGTATGAGGAGCGACCTACCATAACAGCGATGCCATGGCCTGGATCTGCTAACTCACCACAGTATCACCGTACACTTCATTCGCAGTTTGCTAATAACAAAAGGTTTTTTTTCTACATTTAACTTTAGGATAAGCCAGACAGATTGATTGAGGTTTTGTAATAATCACCAAATATATTGAAACACAAGTTTAGAAACGTTCAGTGATTTTCCCTGAGTCCTGTCCTTACAGGTGGAGGAGGCATCACTCGCATGTTGTGGTCCTTGTACTTCACCTCTTCACACTGCACAACTGTGGGTTTCAGTCTGCATCTGTGCAGGAGGGACCACATCAGCAGCCATGGCCACAGAGTCTGCACAGGTTACTGCTGTATGTGAGAAGAGCAGCACTTTGCATTTTTATCTAAAATGCCTGTGGAAATAAAAGCAGTTATCTGACCTGCTTTCAGCTTGCTTTTCATTTTAAAGTCACTGGATGGAGTAATACCAAGAAAGTAGCATAAATGCACCTTGGCCATGATTCGTGCATTATCGGTTCAGGATTTAAAGCTTCATTAGGTTGATTCAAGTTGTACAAACATGTAATAGAGCAGCGAATAAGTTAATGTTACTTCTTTCTGGAAAACTGACAAATAGCACACTTTGGCTCTTGCTCCAGAATAGCTCAAACTCAGCACTGTGGCTTTTTGTGATAGATATTCTCCTGTTCTGAGATCTGTCCTGTGCGTTGGACTGTGTATACCAGGACACAGGTCTCTATGCAAGAAATACTGAGAGCACCCTGCCTGTGCCTCCAATAATACACTGCAAAGGTTTTTTGGTTTTTGGCTAATGTCTAAAGCTATGTAAATTTACCCTTTGAGCGTCCATGAGTCACTCAGTTAACCGCTGTGCAATTCCTTTGCAGATAAATAATGATAATACTTCTATACGTGGAAATCTGAAACATCTTGGTTTTACCTAATATTTTCACTAGTAACCCACACAATAGAGTCCATGCTGCAACAATTCCTGCATCACTGCACATACCTTTCCCCTAGAGGTCCATGGTGGTGAGCAGGACAGGAAGCACACCTCACCAGGAGAGGACGGTCTGTGTCAAGTGCAAGATCAATTTCCCTTTCTTGCCCTCTGTTTCCATCATGAAGTTAACCTCATAACTCCATATTGGAAACTTTGCTTTCCTTTTCACTCATATTCAGGAAGATATACTAGCCACACATGAAGGATTTTGATTAAATATTCCTAGATAAATTGAGAAAGATGATGAAGGTGAGTTTTGGAGACTAGTGTGAGTTGGAGGATCTATAAAAGTTTGAAGTCATCCACTTTAAGTTTTATGGTAATTTCTTAGCAGTTTCTTAACTACATAGCATTCTATTTGTCCTATGAAATAATCTCTTTTATTACCAATTAAAAAATGTCTGCTTCAGAAAATGATAGGTATATTAAAGTTCAATATTTATCCACTAAAATGAATGAGAGATAAAATAAATAGCATCTTAATTTTAAATCCTGTACCATTTTAATTTTTCTTGAGTTGTTTTTTGTCTTCAATGTTGTTATTTTATTGTTTTACCACTTTAAACGAAACAATAAAAAAGAATAAATGTTTGTTCAATATTTTAAAAATCAATATTAAGTTCATAATAATAAAATCTCTGATATGTTTGAATTTCTCTCTTCTTCTTGCATTTATACCTTTTATATTCTCTTCTTCAAAATGAGATATCTGTGTGGTACCTTATTTAGTAATATGTATTTTCATCTCTTTGTTACGTTTGTCTTTAACATGTAGATCAAATTTTATTATTATTCCTAGAACACATACTAAGAAAGATACATGGGAACCTACATACACATATATAAATTGAATTATTCTAAAATGGAATAATAAATAATCTTCTGAAATACGTGTCCTGTATTATACTATTCCCTTTGCAAAGCTCCAAACTACAGCACCAGTTGAATGTGCTTTTTCTATCAAACTGTGTCCTTAAATTAGAATATAGAATTTTACTAAGAATGTCTGTTTTCTTTTCTTTAAAAAATTTCATTTGTTTACCATTCTTCTTCTGAGAACTTGTGAATAAATTGAGAGTTGATATCAGGTTTCTATCACATTGCTGGTTAACTGTACAATTCTTAACACTAAGTGATGCTAAATTGATTTTCATTCTTAATTAGGAAAAAGCAAATGTTTGATATATATTTTGTTATTTATTATTATCTTTGGAGATGTTTTATTCACTTTAGTTTATGGAAACATGCATTTTTGACAGAATCATATAAATTGTAATGTACCTGCTGTAAAGTAGAGTGGAGGCTATTAAAGGATGAAAGAAATAATAATTTTTAAATATTCAAAGTAAGTGTATCAAAGTATATTTAACCTCTTTGGGTAATGAGTTCTCATTTAGGAAAGAAATATGTAAATAATTAAAATTATGTTGTTTATGGATTTAAAACTTCCAAATGTTTAATACTGATGATCTTCTAGAGTAAGTATAAGTATAGGCTTTTTTCAATATTATTTGCCCAAACCCATAAAGTTTCAATAGTAGATTCTTGAGTGATATTATGTTCATAAGTAAAATGTAGCAGTGAATGTACACCCTATTACTTTCCATTAGTTTCATTCACATTAAGTCATAATTTCATCCCAAGTGCTCATGTTCAGTGCTTGACTTTGGGAGGAGTGTGGAGACCATCAGTTTCTGCAAGCGCACAGGAGGTGCTGCAGCAGTGTGGAGGATTCAGAGTCCTCAGCAGGTCAGCGTGCCATTCTGTGCTCATCTCCTCTCAGAAGCGGGTTGCCATCTCAACAGTTCATAAAGCCCTACTTGGGTGGACACACTGCTAACCATGGCTTCCTTCATCGCTAAGTTTTACATATGCTGAGTGAATTCTGATTGAAAAGTAGGGCATATTCTTCAGA